TAGGAGTAGAAATATTGGTAGGAATTTCTAATTCAGTCAAGATCGAATTGATTCTTGTGGCATATGCTGCTGATTTCGGTTGATGGATTCTGGATGATCTTAAAGTTACTGAAGGGTGATGGTAGGGTAATGCATGATTAAATCGGTAAATGCAATTCTTGGCATCGTTTGATGTGTCTCTTGATATATGTGTTGCGTCTGTTGGATTCAATTGTTCAACTGGGTCTACACTTAGGTCTTCAAATGATTGGTCTTGAGTTTTATTAGATTTATTAGTTTTATGCTTGGTTGAATTGTTCTCTTGTAAAGTATTAGACTTGTTAGTTTCATTTGCATTAGATTCATCTTGATTGATGGTATCTACATCCGGCCATTGTTTCAATTGATTATAAATCTCAAAAGGTAAACCTCCAATCAGTTTCATTAGTTCATGCCTTTCTTGATTTCGTTTTTCAACTGATTGTTCAAATCTTCTGGTTTCAATATATAAAAAGTTTTCTTCTTGGATTTGATTTAATGATCTATTCATTAGCCTTTTCACTTGTTTCTTTCTTTCAATTTCTCTATTTTTATCAAAATGATAACTTTGAATTAATTGTTTTTTACTCATCTCATCTAATGGCTCGCCTGAAGAATTCGATGGTCGATTTAAGATTAACTTTTGACAAATCGAATAATATCTTGATTTTAGATCGTCGATTGATCTTGAACTACCTAAAAAATCATATCGATCACTTATCACTGGAAATCTTAAATCATAATCTTTCAAAAGTGAGAATAGATAATCCGTTTCTTCTTTTGTCCAATCATCGTCTCTCAGATAATGATAATACTCTTCAGTTGAGTATGTATAAAGATTAGAACTTGTATTGAATTTCGAAAATGGCGATACTGTCATTCCAAAAAACATAAAATCAGAAACATCAGAACATAGCTTCATTAAAGTAGTTTGTTGAACTTGACTAACCTGAAGGTTTATCACTCCTCACCCAATGTTTAACTTTCAATTGGACTTTACGTGCTGGGTTGGCGATATCGATCAAATTCCACTTAGCGGTTGATGCTGATGTTGATGGTGAAGGTTTTGACTTGTTTTGATTATGTTTCAAAGTCTCTAATGTTAAACTTGCTGATTTGTTTCCTATCAGTTTGAATAAGTCTTGTTCCATTTTGTTGATTTAAGAACATCCAACTCTTCGAAACTGAAAATCAAAAAATCAAAACCAAAGCTGAGCTTATGTACTTACATAAATGCACTTAGCTTGAAGCTTAAGGGTTAACCCAATCCACCTTGAGCAACTTCGGTTAAAGAAAAGCAACACTAGGGCAGTTTCTTCAGCAAATACTTATATACATGTCTATCCTGATCTCCTTGATTACAATGTCCTCTTGAATGCTTCCCACTTGCCTCACGTAGTTTGGATTCTGCACGGTGTTTGAGTATCTTATACTAAAGGTGTGAAATTTGAGATTTTCAAAAAAGGTCATCGGGTGCCCTTGAATGCATGAGGGCTCGAAGGAAAACACGGATCCAGATGTGTCATCCTGAACCCAAAGTTTCTCGAACACAATGGACTTTGCGTGCTTTCACCGGACGTCCATCTCTGAGCGGCTCTTGTTGAACCCGTACATGGTGTATATGCTGTCTTTGCTTTATAAAGAGTGAGGATCATATCATGATGGCGAGTGGGGCAAGCTATGATCACAATACTTTTGCCTTTGGTGGCTTCGCTCGGGCTTACATTTGTGTTTTGAATTGGATACCAATTGAAATCATTGTATATGGGTCTCAGTAGGTTATATACTTTGCCAAGTTTGACTCATCCGTACAAGATTTCTCCTACACTATGGCATGTCATGGATTGAGGAATCAGTGCAGAGGCAATAAGATACCGTCCAATGAAGAATGTCATCGGAATACCCTCAGTCGAAGATTTGTCGTTAAAAATCATTGGGTGAAGGTTAAGAGAATATAATACATTTGAAAAATGTTTGTACACCTCGAGACTCTTCAAGGAATTGGGGCCAAGCTTTCTGAAGAAGAGTGTATATTACAGTTTGGCGAAGAAAAGAAATAATCATAGCAACAAAGGATGAGCCTCATGAGGTATATTTGTCAACGTGAAAATAGCCACAATAGTGATCGGGGTTTGAAACGGAAATGGAAGAACAAAGCACTTATGAATCCCCGACCAAAACATTCGCTATTTCAGACATTCAGAAATAAAAGAGGGAAAAGTGCTAAACCTTTGTTATCATGTTTCAAGGCTTCCGGGGCCGTTCGCAGAATCAGTTTGAGGTGATAATAGTTTGACGATAATTTCCTAACCAACAGCACTAAGATGGATACCGCGCAAACCCGAGGGGTTACCTTAAATAAACCCCAACAAGTCCCTTTACGCGTCGCACGCTCTGAGCGGTTTGCAGCGAAGAGAAGGGACCCTCTGCCCGGTGGCGGTCTCTAACACTAGAAATGATACGTTATAAGTGAGATTGGGAGGGACGGTGGGAGCCAAGAGATTAAACTCGACTAATAATGCAAAAAAACGGGGTTGACTTCTTGTTGATAGTAACGGATTTGGATGAAGAGAACATGCGAAAGTAAATGATAAGAGCACAACTGCTAGAGCCCACAAACACCTCTCCTTCAGACTCAGATTGCAATCTATTTTTTGAGCGCGAGACCGTATGGCAAGATATTCAGGTTTCTAAACGACCAGGTTGATGAAGACGTTTCGAAAGACGTGTTTAATTAGGAGAGGACTGGATTGCATTGATCGCTTAAGCTCAACATCGATGTCTTGCCTCAGCTATAGTCTCTCTTCCCTTTCATAATTGTAAGCTGTGGTTTTGGAACATCACCACGAAGTTTCAGCCTGAAGTTTGTTGGTGAGTGATCGGGTTATTGATTCTCATCAATGATATAGCCATCGTACATCACTGCAAAAGAAACCCCTTCAGACTCAGACTGCGATTCAATTTTGCGCGCGAGACCTCTAGTATGGTAAACTTTTCCAAACACAATCAGGTCGCTCGCTCGCTCCTCGCGAGGAGGGAGGGAGTTAGTTATGAAACTTTTCGTTTGAAACTCTTCAGTTTCCTAGCCGACAAGTTTGATAAAGAAATTATTTGGAAGAATTCAAAAGAAAGGATGGCAGATTTTGCAATAAATTCTCTCCCGCTCGTGTCGTAAACCACACAACATCAGTCCCCAACTTGATAATTTTCCTTCCCAAATTAAAACAGCTTCAAAGCTAATCAAATATCGTAAAGACTATCGACATTCATTTTTGTCATTCACTTAAGCTCGCTTGAAGGGATTGTGAGTCCATCTTGGCCTCATTTTGATCTCCTGATGACATAATCAGACCTCAGGCGTAAAAGCACATCTCAAGTAACAACAAATGCTAATATCCTATATTTTGATTTTAAAGATACTTGGCTCGATCAACCATAGACCATACTAACCTCCCCGCACACCCGCTCCCGAAAGCAGTACGTGAGTAATCATCTCATTTTTTCCTGAAGCCTGCCCTTGATCAAAAACTAAAGCCAGGCAATGGGCAATGACTTTATGAAGGTTTAGGATCAGCTTCTTTTCCTGCCCAACCATCATCATCTTCCGAGTAAAATATCAAGTTTTTTGGTCGGTCTTGTTTGATATTTGACATAATTTTGATCATTGAGCATTGATCATTGATGGCTGATGAATTTGAATTACCTTATGGGGCGTGCGATTTTTCCGAGCATCGATTTCCGAACATTAGGGACTGGGCGAGGTTTCGACCGACAGAGGATTTAGCCACCTCAATAAGCGCATGAATCCCCTGGAAGTCGACCGAAGCGATTTATGCAAACAGGAGGTGTCAGGATTACTCCTACAAGCCCAAGAGACCCGACTGTCAGATGATTTCACCAAAACCAGAGCGAGAGCAACCTGTGAAAGGTATATCAGGCTATCCAGAAGCGTTCTGCCATAGGCTTTTGGCTGAGGTGGGGGGGGAAATTTTGAATAGACAGCTCGTCTTAGGGAGGGTCATGCCTGTGCGCCACCCTATTTTTTTTAGTGCCATAAAGCTTACTAAAAAAAATAAGGAAATTTCATATTGATTGAACAGTGGCTTAGCTGTTTGCAACTCGCTTTCAACTACGGTTGAATTGCAATTTTGCAGAGCTTCGCCCAGTCCCTATTATTGTTCGGAAAACGCATTGTTCGGAAAATTATAGAATTCCGGGGTAATATTTAATTTTCCATACAATAAAAAAAAATTGTAGTTCGCAAAAAATACAGTCGGAAAAAAACCATCCGAAAATTCGATTCCTGTACATACAATGTTGAATTTTCCATCCAAACATTTACGTCAACTAATGTTCGGGTCTCGATTAGATCTGAAAGACAAAGAAACCTTCCACATTATTGAATTTTACGAGACATCCTTTGCAGACATTACCATTAATGATCTCAAAAGTGAACATTACGATCGAAATTCTTCCAATCCACAACGGATTGATGATTTCCAATCCCTAAAAGATTGATGTATCGAAATCCGTTTCGTTTCCAATCCACAACGGATTGATGTCTCGTCTTGGAACACCTCACCATCCGATCCCTGATTTGGGAAACGGAACTTCACTCAAAAGAGCAGTCCACTCGAGTTTCTCCATGACAACTCGAGTCCCCTCCACTGATCAAAAGTCACGTATTGAATGACACGATTTCAATCGGATTGATTTCAATCCGATTGCGGTCAAGCCAAACCATTGACCACTGTTTGATGGTTCAATGGATAACCACTGGCTCCGGCGACCAGGAAACATGGCGTACCAAAAAAAGGTACAAACATGAGAATAGACAAGACCCATGTATCATTGTCTATTCTCATCACAACGTGCCATCATACGTTTTTTTCCAATTTAGCAATAGCAACAATTTAGCATTCCCTCATCTAATCATATTGTAAATCCTTTTACGATTATTTCTTTGAAATCTTTCACTTAAAATGAGTAGCAACAACTCAGAAGATGATTATGCCTTCGGAGAACACCATCAATCCGACAAAGAATTACAACAAGCCTGGTATGATGATGATGAAATCGATTTCTACCAGGAAGAAGAGGATCTCAACGTTGAAGACCAGACAGTCGACCCTGAGCTGTCACAACCAAGTCCAACTTCACCTCCATCCAAATCTAAACCTAAGAAACAGGGCATCAAGGGCAAAAAGACATTTGGGTTGCCTCTTGACCGTGCCTCTTTCGAAACTTTCATCGACGACGACACCACTGTCGACGAGCAAGGATATCCCATCCTTCCTAACCGAAATACCGTCTACGTCCGTCAGCCAGGCCAACCAAAGCTCACTAATTGGGGCGCTTTCGCATTTACTTATACGACTTCCGGTGGGGGTACAAAGAACAACACCGCCACCTGGAGAACAGTCCGATTCAAGTGCCTGGGTGTCATTGTATGTACAAACCCTGATTGCGACTACCTCGGCTCGCCTCCCACAGCAAAAGACAAGAGACTGGAATACCAGTCCGAGTGAGTTTGGATGTTGTTATGTGTGAAATCGTACAATGTCCTCACCAATCTGCTTCTCTCATTTTTCTAGAACTAAGAAGTGTCAAGCAGCTCGGTGTGATGGTGATCTTCGTCACATTCAATGCACCAACACTCTATGTCGTATGGACGAGCATCGCGGTGGCTGGGGTATCATACGACACTCCGGTGTTCATCTTCACCGATGGCCACGACGAGGAAAGCCAGATAAACTTTCACTAGCCAAATTTGGCCAAAAGTGTGTCGAAAACCCGGATATTGGGCCGTTGCGACACAAGGTAAGTGTCCTCCATACCATCAACATGCCAAACATGTGCTGAAAGACGTAAAATTTGCCCCACTAACTCAAATAAAGGTGGGACGAGCTCCTGCAGGCCAAAAGGATATTGTCACCGCCGCCAACATTCATCCGGCCCTTTCCCACCTGCATCAAATTGGTTATTATCGGCGAAAGCTTCTTTCGGACGCTGGGGTCATACCTGCAAAGTCTGCACCAGGATCTGGTGACAGCTTTATTTTGGATATGATCCATTGGGCTGAGTGCGTTCTTTCGTTTGATTGACAATGGCTACATATCTGATTAACACAACTTCATAACATTCGTCTTCAGACAAGGGTTGAGGATGATTTCGTGCTCATTCCTGCTGCAAGACATCCACATGACCTTTCAAACGCAATGGATGGCCAATCAGCTATTATCTCGCGACGAACACGACCAGATCTATTCTGGTGGCCTACTTTCGGACGTTACGTACAAGTTTTTCGCCAACGGCTATCTGCTCTCAACCTCGATGTATCATGATGACCTTCGACGTTGGATTCCGATCCAACTGACTTGGTTGAATGGTCTTACCGAAGAACACTACTGTGCCCACTTTACCACTCTGATGAAACAGATGCGGGATGCTCAGCTCACCGACGACGATCGTGATACGCTGGTGCGCCAGGTTGTCGACTTTTCTGTGGCACAGAAAGATGGTTTTATCATGGCGTACATGGATGTTTTTCAAGAGAACGACCGGGCAGTTGCATTGGACAAGATTAAAGGGTGCCATGAGCATTTTCGAGCTCAAGTCACCCGGGTGAAGAGAAATCATGTGATTATACCAGCTGGCGAAGAGGCATGTGATCATTTATATTTATATTCAGCGTGAGTATAAATGATATGTTTATACTGATCAATATATCTTACTTTACAGGAAACATTCGAGCAAGATGCTTCCGATCTTTTGAAGGAGACAAAGCCTGGAGGCTTGTCTTTTGATCAAAAAATTGCGAAATTGCGAAAGTCTTTTCCCAAAGCCAAAAAATGGCTCGAATGGTGGCAGGCTGCTGATATCAAGGCCATGCTTTTCAAAGGAAGCAAGGATTTGCCAGCAACAACGAACGCACAGGAGGCGATGCATCGTGTTTATTACATGATATCGTAAGTCTGTTCTCTTCTTCGAGTTGAGGATTACGGTGATAGTCATCCTTTGTTTGTTTATCCTTTGTTTGTTTACTTCCAGCGAAGGAAATTGTTCAATCCAAATTGGACTGGTCCAGTTATATGCCTTGGTCAAGTGTCTCGAAAGAGACCACGAAGACCGGTGTAAGGGAATTCCCATCGAGTATGGAAGCCAGGCCAAGAACTACAAGAAGGTAGCTCAGGCCCTCGGATGGGCGAAGAAATCACGTAACCCTCGTTCATTCAAGAATGATGGGAGGCCTCCAGATACGACAGACGCCTTGCTTGGTCGCAAGAAGCTGGGAAGACCTAAAGGGTCTCGAAACGTGGATCGCAATCCAGTCACAACTTATCAAGGCTTTTATGCCTCTTCGACGCCAGGCCGTCGAAATCGGTGCTGGCTTGATGCGATCACCGAGTGCTTATATGCCCTACATACCCCTCTGTGGTACAGTCGCTCAAAGGGGAAATCAGCACACGTTTTCGCAAAGTTGATGATTTTATTTTCCTCACGGTCTACGTGGGAAATGAGCCAGAAAGGCTCTATCAGGACCATCTTGTCCATAGGTCAAAACACTCTGCACACAGCGATTTCCCTGCGATGTCCAGGAAGCTTCCAACCTGATGTTTTCGCCTCTGCGGATCAATATTTCGAAGGCATTTTTGAACGTGAAACTCGCCCAGGCAAGCCTGTGTCTCCTCCTATGACACAGGTTCTCTTCCGAGTCGACCTCAAGAGAAACCTGGTCTGCCCGGTTGACGAATCACATCAATTGGTCGAAACTAAGCATTTAAACAGCATTACTTTGGATCATACCTCTTTCCAGTCTAATTTTTCTTACTCCGAAACTGCTTCACTTCTCACGCAGTGGTCTGAGAATGGGATTCCCCGCGTGTCAGCTCGACATTGCAAGACTTGCAAGGTTCCTTTCGACGAGCTGTCTCAACTTACCTTGGATCCACCTCCACCTCATCTAACCATCAACCTCGACATCGCTTATTTTTCGGTACACGGCCTGCAGAAGCCAAAACAATGATGGCTGATTGCGACCTACCCTACAAACTGAGTCTTGGGGGTGTTACATACCGAATGCGGGCTCGTGGTTTTTGGAGGGAAGGACACTATTGGTGTAAAGTCGTGCGGACGGTTGGGGGTTTGACTGGTGTGTGGTATAACAATGATTTGGAAAATGACGGTATGGCAAGGTTGGTATCTAGAGACCTCGAAACCATTGGAGGCGCTTCACCCAGCACATCATGGGTGATGTATTCTCGCGCGCCGACGGAGGAAGAAACTGTGATCTTCAAGCGTGCCGATGAAAAAATCAACAAGTCTATTGGCAAAAAGGGGGTTGTAGATCGGCCTTTTTCACAATCCAAAAACGATGCTGACGAAGACGAAGTCCTATCTGATCAAGACGGTCACTGGGAAGAAGACCAAGGTCTTCCTGAAGACTTTGACATGCTTGACAATCATGATGTTAAACCTTTGTTTCTCTCAGACTTACAAGCAGAAGACGAACCTACGGAGTCAAAACCGCAAGTACAACTACAACTACGTGAGCAACTTTTTGATTTTGTATAATACAAAGTACCTGATTGTCTTTATCTCACTCAGCTACCAGTACGAAGGGAACCAAGTCTAAGAAACCCAAGAAGGTAAAGGTTGCTGAAAAGAAGGAATATATCTACGTTGACTCTGATCAAACGGGGGAAGTTGAGCAAGAAGAAGAACCTACACAGTCAAACCCAAAAGTACAACTACGTGAGCAACAATTAGTTCTCATACTTTGTATTATTCCTGATTTTCATTCTCTCACTCAGCTACCAGTACGAAGAAAACCAAGTCCAAGCAACCCAAGAAGGTAAAGGTTGCTGAAAAGGAATGTATTCATATTGATTCTGATCAAACAGGGGAAGTTGGGCGAGCTGCATTACGTAAACCCTCAAAGAATGAAGGAGGATACAACCCTAAAGACATACACATCCAAGATATAGGAAAAGTCGTCACTATGCCAAAAAAATCAGAAGCTAAAAGAGGCGAGCGAGAAAACTTTCAAAGCCTTTCTATGTTAATTAATACGAGCTTGTTAATTAATATATTCTTTTGGTTACTTGTAGCGCGCTCGAACAATGACAAACCAAAATGGAAAGGATGGGTCATTATGGATCAAGAGGAAGAGGAGGTTAACGGCAACAAAGGTGTTGAGGAGGCTGAAGACGGTGACGAGGAAGTGAATGACAATTCTCGGAGGTCCAAACGTATCAAGTTGAAGAGGTCTTGACGGGTGGTTCATGGTTATTTTGGCGTCTTGTTTCATTTTTTTTGTTTTTGACCGTAAACTTTTGTGCGTAAAAATATATGTTGGTTGTGAAAATTCACACTTTTGCGACGTTTCTTTTACGAGTCTGAAAAGCATCGGAAGTTAATGGATGTAAAATTATACATTTTGTCGACTTTTTGCAAATTTACGTGCAAATTATTTTACGAAGTATATAGCGCGTGAAAAGTCAATTGCAAAATTATATATTTGGCTGTCAACAATGCATTTTTACGACATTTGTTTTACATACATTCTTTTGCGAACTTCGAATTTTCGAAGTTCGCATGCAAAATTAAAGAATACCCCCCGAAATCTTTAATTTTCCGAACAATGTGATTTCCGAACAATAATGTTCGGAAATAGGTGTTTGGAAAAATCTACGATCCCTTACCTTATTCACTTTAGTTCAATATTACATCATCAACCATGATCGGTATCCAATTAAGAAAAATGGTTCTACTTAGCTTGATCTTAAGTATTTCAATCGTACCAATGATGTGTGAATTTGTAGAGGATGCAGAAGATATCCAAGGGTTCACGAGGTTTAGTAGATCACGTTCTCAGTTCGAAGAGGAAGCCAACGGATTGCGTAACAACCGTGAAGATGATCCCGAGGCGACGAGGTGTGCCGGGATAACCTGTATTTTGGATGGGCGGTGTACAAAGGAATCGTGCGGTGGATGCAATAATGATAATTTCTGTAACAAAAAAAAATAATGACACTGAAATATGGAATGAAAATCACCTTAACATTTGGCTCCAGCCCAGACGGCAGACTTTGGCAGATGATAAAGTGTGGATCTGATGATCACAAACTTGTTCGAGTTTGATCAAACTGATGACTCCTCAGCGTGTGGTTTGTGCTCAGCGTGTGGTTTGTGAACACGATGCGGCCATATATAGAAATTTCTCACAACCAAATAATTGGTGATGCTCAGATAACCCTTAGATTAGTATGATGGTGACGACTGTTTGTATTCTCGCCAAGTGATTGAAAGAAGTTGTGAGTAAGATACAGTCAAACCGGAAAAGGTTGCCACTTCAAGTTTCTGAAAACACAGACATCCTCAACAACCCGAAAGCCTTTAAACACATCACCGAGTATTGCAACTCAACCTGGCGGTTGAAGAACCGCTGGATTTGGGCCAAGATATCCGAAGAAACTATACCTCAAGATAATCATGTCTTAACAATTCCACTCCATTAATCACCCCACTAGCAACTTAGCGGCTGACGCCGCCATTCCATGTATAACCCAAACACATTGCAGTAGATCACAATCCCAAAAGCATGACAAAATCAAAATTTCATACACATACATATTCACTAACTTCAGGTGTGGGAATCATCCTTGGTGACCTCAACACGGCAAAAATTGTTTGCAACAGAGAAGTCACAAAATTGAGAGATCTTGGTGAGATGCTTAAATATATTTGCACAATACAACACTTATAAAGTGAGAGAAAGCACAGTCAGTATCTTGAAGCTTAATTAATAATTGTTAAGATGGAAGGAACACCTGTACATGTGAATGAATAAGAAATTCTACCAGCGGCGGGCACCGCTGTTTTCAAATCAAACTCAACACATTCTGTCCAAAAGAGACAAAAGCATGACTTGATCACGTGGCAATATGATTTTTTCACAATCATGATAGCATGCATCTTGTAAGAACAAATCAAACTTGTGTTAACACATGTCACAAGGAGGGAAAGAAAACTTTGATGATTTGTGATTGCCTAACCAATATTGGGCCACAGAGTGATCTACCTTTGGAAATGATTCATTGTATCAAGTGCTATGAAGTAACATAGAAGGGTAGAGAAGGGTATCATTGACTTTGAGAACTAAGTGACAACCAATTATCTCTCATAGTATTGACAGATGCCTCCTGACAACACCTGAACGCTCAGCTTCGCACCGCTTTTTTCGCAAAATTTTGTAGTGGGGTGATTTTTCACTACATGTAGCTCCCTTAATGCTCCGCTACACAAAGATAAGCGCTACAGGCTTGAGGCAGCGGTGTGGTGTTTTGAGATACTTGCGCTCCGCTGTGTCATTTTTTTGGTCAAGGTAGTGGCCCGGAGCGATCTGAATTATTCACAATTTTTTTTTTAATATTCACAAGTGCAAAATAATATAAACAAATCTAAGACAAATTAAAATAAACTAAATAAATACTACGAGGAACCATAAGGAGTGACTGGAAAAGTTAAAACCAAGAGGAAATAAGACAAGAGAAAAACTCGACAGAAAATAAACTAACGAGCGACAAGACAACAGACAAGAGAAATTGAACGAGTGACAAGATAACACGATCAAACAAGTAGATAGATGAGATGAAAGAAAAACATATCAAGATCAAGAGAAAACGAACGAGTGACAAGGTAAGATAACAAAAGAACAAAACAATAAGATAAGATGAAGTGAAAAATCGAGTATAATGAGAACCAAATAATCATTTTGTTTTGTTCTTCTTCTTTGAGTGTTCTTCAAACGAAGCAAGGTAAGTAAGTGCATCAGAGAATTGGTCATTGGTTGTAATACCAGCTTTCAACCATTCCCTACAACCAACAGCACGAGAGATAGTCTTTGGGGTCAAGGAACCTCTTGCAGGAATGGCAATATCCGCCGCCGAAGAGAACGTACGTTCTGAGGCACACGATGTAGCCGAGATAGTGAGATAATTGCGTGCCAAAGAAGCAAGCACCTTGAACTTTGAGTCGTTTACCTGAGAAAAAGAGAAAGGCACACATTAACGTATGTACAGATGTCAGTGAGTAAAAACAACTTACGTTCCACCATGCCAGTGGAGATTGGCCAGGGACAGTTGGATCGTTTCCTTGCAGGTACAAGCCGAGTTCAGAAGACCGGATCGATTCGGGCGTTTGGAAATTGGCAGATGAAGTAAAGATATCAAATTGATCGAAGGGCTCATGTGAAGTAGAGGGGATTGGAGATGGCACAGCCAGCATATTTGGCTCGAAGCCAAAAATCCGAGGATTCCTCGGATTCTGACTCCGAGTTAACCCCCATCCGAGGATCCAATCCGAGGCAACGGCCAGGGCCAACATTTGCCTCGGAATTAGCCCTCGGGTGCCCTTTTCCTCGGGGGCGCCGTCTGAGGACTCTTCAGACGTTTGTCTCTGAGCCAAATATGCCGGCAGTGTGGGGAAGGGTCCGGGGTCACTGGCCAAGTTTCTAAAGCTTTATTGAAGTGCTCTTCAATAAGATCCTTAGCTCGCTCAGCGTGCTCTGGGTAGTGCAAATCAAAGAACTTCATTCGGTACTTCGGATTGAGGATTGTCGCCAAGACTATCACGTCAGAAGCCACAGCTTCATGTTGATATTTCTGGAGCTGACTTAACATTGAATCAATCATTTGCTGGAGTGTTGGGAATTGAGTATCCCTTCGTATGTCAGACAGGGTCTTGGTGATCCGAAGATACTCAGCCAAGAGCATCGATCCAGACGAGGTGTTACCCTCAAATCGCTTGGTTGAAACACGAAAGATCTGATTCAGAGATGAGGAATGTCAGACTAGAGAAAAAAGGGAAAGAACAGGATGAGAAGGGGAAGAAAGGAATGAGATAAGGGTACTTACCTCTAATATGTTGCATAAACAGTCCACTGTGTCCCACTCGTCCATGGACATCATGATACCTTCGTAGTATCTAGTCTTACGATCGGCAATAAGGATTGAATCCACCACCTAGGATGCAATCTTAGTCAGTTCATGAGATTACTAAAAACAAAGGTAAAATCCTCACATCACGGGCAGCCACGAGGTGGGAGTACATAGCTAGATTGATATTCCAACGGACACCCCAGCCAGCTATGGGTGAAGGTCCATGATAATCCATCTGCTCTGCTTGGGCTTTGAACTCGCCTCGCCTGGCATTACTCCGGGTAAGTAAGGCGTTGGAGTGCTTGAACTGTGAGTAAATCAAGTTTTTTCAGGGTCAGTTTCTTGACAGATGAGGAAGGTGAAGACAGGAAAGGGTGGGAAACATATGATAAAATAAAAGGTGAAAAGTACCTTCATTGCACCCTTGATCACAATACATCTGTCAGCAGGGATGTCATTGTATTCGAGGTCTTCATCCATGTAATCCTCGTCAGGACCAGTGTTACAGTGACCAGGGTGATTGTAGACATTGTCTTCGTCATCCGAATCGTAGTTGATCGCGTTGTTGGTCAGATCATTGTTTAAAAGAACAGTAGGGATGGGTACTGAAACATTGGGAGGAGTCGTTGGCTTGACATGACCAGCTGCCAATCCAATAACCTTCAGCCCCTTCCTGACCACCAAGCCAAGCTTGTGGGCAAAGCAGCAAACATGATTCTTTGAAGAATCCCAATCGACTGGAGAATTGCACTCAGAAAACATTACCTCCATCTCCCGTGCCATTGTGTTGTTCGATGAGCCAGAGTCAGTAGTCTGACCTAACATGTAATCAAAACAAATTAAAAATATAGATAAATTAGTGAAGTTGGACAAGGATGGAGTAGGAATAGATAGAAGGAAACCAAATATCTTTTTATGAAGATTGTTTGCTATGAGGAATCGTGCTACTGGTTGTGCCAAGAGATATCCAAATTTGTTCCATGCAACTAACTTCAAGCTCAAGTGAATCGTTTGATAATTCCAGTTGTCATCGATATAATTTGCTGATATACCAATAAAGGCGTAACGATTTCCCTTTGTAGTCCACACATCGTGAACTAACGAGAACTTGCCAGTGTTGTTCTATGAACAAAAAACAATAGTCAGAACATGTAAGCTACCTGAAATGAAACAATAACAATGATTTACTTACTAATACTAAGTTGATCACGGCCGAGCTCAAGCTAAAGTACAATTGCTTAGCTACACCAGCAGCCCAAGTCGGAGACCTAAGTTCAGCACGTCAATTGGAAAGCTTAAAGGCAGCACGCAAGGGAACATCATAAAAGCGGTTGAAAGGGAGGGTGTGTTTAAGAATCCACATCACTAAGATGGTGTTGCATAAGTCAACACTGAAACTTGCGGCTGATAAAAAGGAGTCGAGGGTCAATTGACCGTTGGCTTCGTTAGAGGCTGCTGCTTGTGCGGCTTGGTCTTGAGCCCACGTGAGAGGAAGTCGCCAGCCAGACGCAATGGCACGAGCACGGCAAGGACATGGAGATCAGCCCTTACCACCATCCCGGTGGGCATAAAGATTGTGATAAGAACGATACCCTCAAGCAAACAGGCCGTCACACCAATGGCATCTGTATTCTCGGGGATCGTCTCCGGTCTAGAAGAAGAAGAGAAAAACAGAAGGGAAGTTAAAAAATAAAAGAGAAATTTAAAAAGATAGATTTAAAAAGGGGACGAGTAGATAGTTGAATGAATACTCACCTCATTCTTGATGTGAACAGGAGGACAAAAGTACTTCAACAAGGCGGCAAGCCGACCACGCCGGACCCCTTCAGTCTCAATCATACATCGAACCACCATAACACAGGTGGTTCAGTAGTCCATGAGACGACTCGCGCAGCCTGTGAAAGGTGGAGGTGACAGGCAGCACGGTCAAAGAGGGACAACCACTCTGTACGACCGTGCGAAAAGAATTTCACCCCACACCAACTTTCACAAGAGGACTCCAACCTCTGTCAGCAAGACGCCTCGATCCCTTAAACTCTCACACCACTCACAAGTGGTCTTTTTTGCTCCACCCCACCCACCCAGCAAA